TGCGGTCTAAGCATGTATTCAAAGAATGTATTAAACTAATAATGCAAGTTCGAATGATGAACCGAGCCTCGGTGCATGCAAAACAAATGGATGTAAACATGAAGTATGCTAAACAAAACATGATGCTCCTAAACTAACCATCATAAGCTAGTAAATAAAAGGGAGAAAGACATGGAGTTGGAAGACATACACATTATTACAACATTACGCTCTCACGAAGGAGAGTCGGAATGAATTAACTAACTAATTAAAACTAAGCTAATTATTGCAAAACAAATGAAATTAGCTAAACTACTTAACTAATTATTACAACGCTTGAATTAACTATTCTAGCTAACTAAAATAATTACAAAACGAAATCGAATAACTAGTTAACTAACTAATTAATTACAACACCTTACAAAAATTAACTAGTTACAACTAATTAATTACAACAAACATCTAAGCTAAATATTTAAACTTAAACATGCTCGATACGCGAGGAATACTCATACACGTGCTTGGTTTCCACCCGAAAAGCCACTGTTTTGCTTCCAAAAGGCCTCTGTTGCACAATAAAACACTAACATCTTTGTCCACTTCCAGAATAGCTCTGCTCTACTCAAAGAACACACTGCTGAATTTTGCATCAGTGGCTGGCCTGCCAAGAGTGAGAGCCTGCTAGCCACCAATGATAGCCGGCCGACCATCAAAGGTGGCTTGTCGGCCATAGAAAGTGGCCTGCCGGCCACTGCTGCCCAGTTCATCTTACTGCAACAGAGAACAAACAGAGCGTGCATAGGGTATTCTCAATGGTTTGTTTGCATAATTCAACCCTCCTTATCATGAACAAATCAAAGGAGTGTAAACTTGGTCCACAAACCATCCACTCAAGCAATTTCATTGCATGATGACTCATGAACCAAAATGTGTAAGTTCAATAAATGTAACAAAACAAGACTCTCAAAACCACCTCCCTATCATGAAAGATCAAGGGAAGTAGTTGACAATGAATCTTGAACCATTTTCATCACTAATGAGTATGAAACGACCCAAGACTCAAGGGTTCAATTAACGTCCGATTGAACCCAAACAAATTATTATCTTGCATCATTGTAGTCCCATTTTATTACTCCATTTAGATTATCATCCATTCTTTAATTCATTGAATCCAATGGTGAGTTTAAGTCCTCTAAATGGAAAGAAGGCTTAAACCAAGTGCTGTCTTAGGCATGAAAGAGACATCATACCGTTGATAATGAACCTCAAAGGGATTACACCATTAAGCATGACATCTTTATCTCATGCTTTAAACAAACAAGTTGTTTAAACCACTTTAAAAAAAAAATAAAAGCCAAGAAAGGAGGGAGATTGTAGAGGTGATTAAGAGTGATCACAAGTATAGAAAGCCATAAATAAATGCAATCAACTCAAATAAGATGGTGTCTAAGGCCTAGAACACCAAACTTATGAGAATAATTACACTATAAGCATACAAAAGAAAGCTCAAATACAACTATCAACCAAAAACATTGCTAAAACAATCTAAAAACAGTCCTAAAACATGTTAGAATTAAGACAAAAATAGCTAGATTAATATGCTAAAACATAGCACAAGTTAGGCTAGTAAGCAAGACACAAGGAGGGGAGACTAACCCCTTCAAATTTGGACTTCAAAACATGATTTTAGCCACTAAAATAACTATGAAAAATAGTATTTAAAAGCTCAAAAACAGATAGTAAAAGGATGGAAAACACAAGGGAAAAGGCGTTCAAAACAAGGTGCAAAGAATGGTGAACCACCACCTCAACCTTTAATGGCCTCAAAACCCAAGCTTCACCCCAAAAATACAGAGTTTTTATAGCCCAAAAACAGTTGAAAAACAGCAAGAAAAAGAATAGATGAAGCTAGTAAAGAGACAAAGCTTTATACCTCTTGAAGAGAACACACCAACACACCCTTTAAGAGCTCAAACCAAGCTCTAAAGTACCTTAGCTCAAAGATGAGAAGGTTTGGTTAAGGGTGTATAGGCAAAAGTTAAGGATATGTAGGCAAGAGTGTAGAAATTTGGAAGAGAGAGAGGAAAAAGTTTTGCTCTAAAATTTTTCTAACCTTAAAACATGAGAGGGAGGTGTAGACGCGCCCGCGTGGCAAACCAAGCTCTAAAGTACCTTAGCTCAAAGATGAGAAGGTTTGGTTAAGGGTGTATAGGCAAAAGTTAAGGATATGTAGGCAAGAGTGTAGAAATTTGGAAGAGAGAGAGGAAAAAGTTTTGCTCTAAAATTTTTCTAACCTTAAAACATGAGAGGGAGGCCCTTTATATATAGAAAACATGAATTCCCCTCAAGAACATCCAGCCCGACACATGGGAGCAGATGCAAGCATCTGTGTAAACAGTTGGTACAGTTGTCACGAAATATCTACGAAAGACCCTGCTGGCCAGTCGACCATCACTGGTGGCCGGCTAGCCACATCAGTGGCCAGTAACCAAGAGTGATGGCTGACAGCCCAAAAAGGTGGCCGGCAGGTCACCAAGGGTTGCAGGCTTGAAGAACCAAGGTTTGGTCCAAGAATGAGGTAACAGGTGTGCAAGGTTAAAAGGCTCAAAGCTAAGGCGTTCCGCTAAGGGCTTCGAGCACTTGACAAGCATATAGACTCATTATTGGGTGTGCAAGCGATGACGTTCAAGCTGTAAGGGCTGTCAAAAATGGGGTCTCTATACTAAGCAATAGGGAGAAGAAGGAGAGTAGGAGATTAAAGGAGCTAAAATTTTTTACCATTTCATCATCTTATTATTGAGTAAGAAAACCCTCTCAACCCTCTCATTTTTTTTAATTGTTGAAATTTTCGGATTATATTTATATGATAAAATGACTAAACTTATAGATAGAATTTTATTTACAAATGTATATAAATTTTGTGATATGTATATCAAATATTTGAAGATATTGATAGTCTTAAAGTCATAGTATTATTGTGGAAATAGGCTTGCATGTGTAGTTTATACCATTAAAGAGATGATTGAAGATTTTATTTGGCCCTTAAATCTGCCAAACAGTTGTACGAATTTTTAGACAATTTTATATTCAAACTTTGGAGATGATTTCTTCTACAAAGTTGTTTAGAATAATGTCTAGTTCGTCCACAAATTTTTGCAACAATTATTGAGTTTTGTCCGAATTTATATAAATTTTTAACCAAATCTAGAACTGTAAGACAGATTTTACTATGTGTTTGAAAAATCATTAAAAATTTTATATTAAATCAAATCTGGTAATTTATAAATAAAAAATAAAATTTGAAAAGTCTAGTTTCATAATAAATTTTTATATTATGGATTTGATTTATAAATTTAAGTATGGAATTAATTTAAGAAAATGTGATAAATCTGTGTCACGAAATTTCTGGGAATTTTACAGAATTATTTATAACTTATTTTTGGGAAATTCTTTCTGAAAAATGACCTAAACATGTTTATTGAATATTCTGTAGATGTTCACGAATTTTAGAATTGTATAAATAATTTATTTATAATTTTTATTACCAAAGGTATATCCTGAAAATTTCTAGACAGGTTTAAGATCATTACTTCAATTAATTAATTGGATAAAAATTAATTATTGTGTTGGTCTAATTCATTAAATATTGTAAATTAGTAATCCATGTATGGGTATATTGTGGTTTATTTAATATTATGTTAGTCTAATCTTGTAAATGAAAAATCTATGCATGTGTGTGATTATGGTTTATTTTCTTTGTATCTAAATTATTATTTCATACCATGGTTTAAATAAATTGTTTATTTAAATTTGTACACTTATTTATTATTGTGTGACATGTGTAATATTTTATGTTGGGAATTTTAATGAGTTGGTATAACATTATCAGTGATTGAAATTTGAATAATTTGTAATTAATATAAAAACTAATTGAAATGATTAACGGCATATATAAAGTTAATGATCGAGGGTTAATACCGATAGTACAGGGTGAGCCCTGGTTTTTAATAATTTTTATATAATTGTGTCGCGAAACCCTAAGATAGCACAGGACTTATTTGAACCCTTATCAGTATTTGGTTTTCGGATAAGGGTGGATATGAGGGTAGCACGCAGGGAGCTTACATATCCCTGGCAGACCGTTCCCTTGGGGCAGACCACGGATGCCATGGCTTGGGTATATAACTCTAGGTGTGGACATCCTTGGTAGTTCTTGAATATTTGATCAATGGGGGGTTTCCAAATTAATCGTAGCCATGGCTTAGTGGTTGATAAAAAAATCTCTTTGGTGAGATTTTGAATGTCATCTAGACTAATAAAATTGTTGAAATTCCTTTAAATTGTTGTTATATCATCTTGCTATTAATTCTATCATTTTCTCTTAATTGTCATGATTATTATCTAATTATTTTCTCTTAAAAAGAGTAGTAGGTTAGTTATGTTTTCTTACTATGTTGCAAAACTCATGGCATATATATATATATATATTTTTTTTTTTATCGGCAAAAAAAAAAAATTTATTGATGGAATAAACAAGTACGAAGTACAAAGGAAATTACATCAATAAAGAAAAGGAGAGTGCAAAAGCATCACAATGAGCTCGATCATCCCAACTATGTTGGCACGAAAAAGCCCATCTTATCATTTACTAGGATGGGCTTTTTCGTGCCAACCTAGTTGGGATGCTGACATATATTTTGTTACCCTGGCATTTTATGCCAGATTATGACGAGAAAGGGACTAAGGCCGAAATTGGGGCCGCTGCTAATATAAAACCGTGGCTAACTTGAAATCAAGAATATAGCAAAATAAAATTTTATTATCTTTTGTTTTAGTAATTAAGAATGTTATAAAGTTTTTTGTGATATTGTATGCGGACTCATAATTTTGTTTTGTTGTTAAACTTTAACTATGTGAAAATTTAAAATTTCCCTAGTTAGTTGTTAAAATCTTATTTAGCAAGTTATTTGTCATTTAAATTTTATGATGTTCCAAAAAAAGTTTGCGACGTCACACGGATATGGTAAAAAAGGGTCGTGGGCCGATTCCAAATCTAGAATAAGATAAACATCTCATTATGTTATTATAAAAATAAAGAATAAAAATTTAAAAATGCAGAATAAGATAAACAATTATATTAACTATTATTACATACAATTGATCCATTGTTAAATTCTTACATGTAGGTCACCGCATCGGGGATCAATCCAGTCATTCATCTTCTTCGACTTGTGACACTTCTCATAGAATTTGCAAAAATCAGGCAACTCTTCATCGTTCTCATCTACCTATTAATTTCTCATCTAACAGAATTGTTTTAAGCAAAGAATCCAAATGTGGGAAAAGATTAAGAAGGAATCCAATGACACAAAGATGAACATAAACTTCAAATAAAAAACGTGAACCACCACCCAAAGTAACAAATGAACAGTAAGATGAGCACAAGAATGCTAATTCATTGAGTTCTGAAAAATTGGAAAGAAGATGCTTAAATAGTTACTACAAATGAAAAAAGCTAAGCAGCACAAATGCACATCAATTTTTCCATTACCATAAAGGTGATATTGTAACGGTGAGCTCACATCAGGAGAAGAAACATCCATTACTCTATTATTCTCATACTAGTACTTGATGTAGAAGAACATACCTAGGATTTTAGGATTGATTTTTTTATAAAAACCAAGTACTGGAATGGTTTAACATAAGGGAGCTTGTTGATTAATAAAATTTAGAATTATTTTAAACTTTCTCCACCTCTTCAAGTATTATTATGTGTAAATCAACTATATATGGTAACTTTAGTCATGGTATTTGTATTGAATCAATAGTTTCAAGAGCAACTATATGTGGAAAATGCATATATATATCTAAAAATAGAAACCTGTCTAAATTTTCAGACAAAAGAATGCAGCTGTAACACTCCAAATAGAATGTGAATATAACAAAACTTCACTAAACACATCAGTATCAACAAACCCATTAACTCACACCAAAAAAATTGTAAAATTTTTTTCCTTCTCCTACAATTTCTAAGTGACCAAACTGAGACAAACATACAATTTCTTCTGATGCCATTACATTAGCCAAAAACATTTTCTTGAGTCTGAATCAATTTCTTCATTTTCTAGATTTGATGTATTGAAATAACAAAATATGCCCAGTACAACTCTACACTGTCTCATTTTCTTAGCAAGTACTATATCTTTCTAGGAACTATTGATAATTTGTTCATAAAAAAAAGAAATAACAATTACATGTGCCATGATCAAGCGAAAACCAAATCAAATTAATCAGGTGTCTTTGTGCCTGTCAGCTTCAAATACCAAAATTAATACAAACCAAATGTGAGTCACATTGCACCCTGTTTGGTTGCAAGTAAATAGAAGGAAAATACTAGAAGAAAATAAAACGAATCAGAGAAACATATAGAGATAAACAATGTGAATTACTGAATCAGAACAAACAAGAAGTAAAGTTACACAGCGTAACAGGGAACACATCAAAAGCCATTTTTGCATTGTTGTAAGTAAATTATAGTAATAAGTTTAGATTTGTCTCTAAAAGATTATTTTTAGGGACCAAATCTAATTAGTCCCTAAATATTAGTCTCTAAAAGACTAATTTCTTGTAGTGGCATAAAGCGAGCAAAACAGTTTGTCAAGATTTGGCACTGAAGAACCTTAGTTGCAGGAATCGTGCAACCAGGTGGCGATTCTTACTCAGAATCGCAATTCTGCGTTTCCTAGGATGAAACGTGTAAGAATCGCGTTTCTGTGGAGAGAGAAACGCGATTCAGTCCAAGATCGGATCGTAAAGGAGAGAGAGAGAGAGAGAAACCTGGTCTCGCGACTTCGACCTTCGCTCTAGCCCTAGCCTTCGACCTTTGCTCTAACCCTAGCCTTCGCCTTCGTCTTCTCTTTGTCTTCATCTATGTCGATCGCCTTCGTCTTCTCTTCGCCTTCGTCGTCTGCGTCTTCTCCTCCTTCTTCTTCTCTCTCTCTCTCTCTGATTTGCGTATCTCTCCCCCCTCCCATTTATAGCATATAATAAATAATATAATTTGTTATATAATAATAAATCTAATTAAATTATATATAATAAAAAAATATTTAATAAAATCTATAAAATGAATCATTCAATTTTTATTTTTATTTATTTTTAAAATGAATGTTTATTTGTTATTTATTTTTAAATTTTTTATGTTGTGTTTAATTAATTAGATATTATATAAAATAAAAAAATAATATAAATATTTTATAATAAATGAAAAAAATCGAATAAAAGTATATAATTATAATATTTTAACATATGATTTTTTATAGTACTTTTTTAAAAAAAAAATTATAACATATATTTTCTTTATCATTAGAGGAAAAAAATATATAATCTTACAATATATTTATATATATATAATCTTACAATATATTTTTATATATTATATTATTTAATATATATACAAACGCTCCCTACCAACGATTCTTGGAATGACTACGATTCCCCGCTCCCGCTCCCGCCCCCGCTCCCACTCCCGCTTCGTGCAACTAAGTGAAGAACACTGAGGAACACTTTAATCATAACATAATAACTAAGCACTCAGGTAATCTTCTCCACGCAGTTGGGATTTCTGCTTTTGTCTATTTAAGAAAATGAAAATGAATTTTAATAAACAAAACCAATGTTATTGCACATCAAAACTAGAAGTAGAGTCTACTCATTAAAGCATACCTCATATCCTATCCAAGCAACTAAAGCAATCTCTGTTCCTGCTAATGCATTTGAAAACTTTCTATAAATATCCAACTTGACAGAACTCCTCTTTGCCTGGACAGAGAGAAAAATATCATTATACAAACTCTATGAGAATGAAAATAGTAAAGTTGCTCTAATGGAAAAATAATTTAATGTTTCAACTAATCAGTTTCCCAAATTCTACCTATCCCCATGAAAATGGTACTAAAGAAGCCCTCTTGATGATATTAACAAAGCTTTATTTTGTCTCCTGATTCCTTTTGCAAATATAGTGTGATGGTTAACATCTATATTTAGCAGGCCACTGTTTTAACTAGAAAAGTTTAAAAATTTAAAAATTTTACACTTAATAATGGGGAACTTGAAGGCATTGGATGAAGATAAATTGAAATTAGGGATTTATTCTAGTATTATTTTGTGATTTGTGATTCAACAAGTTTTATTTATTAAATTAGAATTTATTGGGGTTTCCAAGGATGCCTATAAATAGGCCTTTATGTAATGAACTTATCAGACTTGGCTTGGATCTTGAAGAATTTGAATATTGATTAGGATTATCCCTATTTTGACATTTAAAATGAAATTCGCTAAAAAAACATGATACAAACAATTCAATTGTCATCACTATGAACAAAAATAGTAATGAAATTTGTATATTTAAATGTACGTAAGAGAGTGGGTGGAGAACTAAATTCATATAAGAGACTTGAAAAACCTTTGGAGTTTTTGAAAGGTACCTTTTTTTTTAGGGCTTTGAGAAATTTCACATTCTCTGTTTTTTAAATTTCTCTTCTTTGGAGGCCACCTTCCACTTTTGTTCAGATTCCCCTCTCACCATCTACTTTAGTGGGCATCACATGTATACAAATAGTATTTTCAATCTAGGGTTTTGGTACAATATATTTAATTTGGACCAATGCTAAGAAGTCCAAATGTAGTAATGCATCTATATTAAATTAGACATTGCAATGCTTTTTCTTCTGTCCATTAAGTGTACAAACATAAAAATCAATCACATTAAAAAATCTATTTCTCCACAATCTGGATCATGTAACACATGTGTCTATTCCGTTATTAAACATCTAAAAATTTAACTTTCAACCTCAAATTTAACTATCATGTAATACAAGGAAATAACCTTCATATAAGCCACAATATCAACTTTCTATTCATGTTAATAAACATAGTTTGTACGTATAGAAGATTGTTTTTTTGCTGTTTACAACCATTTTGTAAATTGAAGATCATTTGTTTTTCTGGTGCAAATACACTACTCATGTCCCCTGATATTAATATATTGGGCCTCACAATCTAAACTGTAGAAGGAATTAATTAGTTTTATTACATGGCCTAAGTAATGCCACAATCTTGGGAGTTTTAAATAATAAAAAAAACTAGCTTGAGGATACAGGTTCCAATGTGACAAGATTCAGATAAAAGTTGCAGATAATTAAGATGCATATGAAGGTTAAGGGAAGTTTTGTGCGGGCTTATCTCGGAGGTCCATTTGTAGATGAAAGAAAAATAATAGACAATTAGGCCATGAACTAGAAAAACAAATGCTATGGCCAATAGAATTCTAAGCACTGATGAAGTATACTCTATTGTGAACATAAACTTAAACATAGGACATGATCTCTAGAAGTTAGGCTCGCGGCTTAGAATTTTCAGAAGCCTAAGAAACATTTTATCAAACAATTTGAAGGCAAGAAAAAAAAAAGAAAAAACAAATCCTTTATTATAAGAATCCAAATCCAAAACAACAACAAACTATTTTGACATTATAAGAATCCAAAGCAACAATCCATCTATATGAATTCAAAACAACAACCCATCTTGAAGGTCTAATTTGGTCGATTACGGAGGGATTAAAGAGACCGATTCAGTGAGGTTTAGGGCAGAAATCCAGACTACCATGGTGCTCTCCTTCATTTTGTCTTTCTGTTCACAGATTTGAACGCTTACACCCAAAAAAATTTTAGAGAGAGAGAGAGGAAGGGGAAGGGGAAGAAGAAGAGAAAGAGGAAGAAGAAATACCAACTATCCGCGGTGTGCGATGTTGTACTGTCGCTGGTCGGAGATGGGTGCTCGTGTGCGACGGTGGCTGGTTGGAGATGGGTGCTCCTTGCGACGGTGGCGGGCAGATCTCTATGGAATGAGAGAAAAAGATATGAGAGAGAATGAGAGAGAAGAGTGAAAGCGTGAGATATTTTATGTAGATGGTATTTTATAAATCCCTGAAAGTATTTTTTAGTCACTGAAAGTATTTTATAAATTCCTCCAAAATATTTGAAATCACTCCTTTCAAAAATTTTAGAACTTTAGCGATGAAAATTCTTTTTTATCTCTGAAAATAAACTTTTGGCCACCAAACGGTAAAAAATAATCTTTTATTTTCCATTCGGCGACTAAATGGTTTAGTAGCCAAAACTCAATATACGGAGATTAAAATTCTTTTTTGTTGCTGAAAACAAACTTTTGACGACCAAAATTTTAGTCGCCAAAGGTAAAAAATAATTTTTTATTTTTCATTCAACGACTAAATGGTTTCAATAGCCAAAACTCAATATATAGCGACTAAAAATTTTTTTTGTCTCCAATTCTGGCATTTTTAGCTACTAAATTTTTTTTAGTCGTCAATAACTAATATACCCCGTCTAAAAAAAATTAGTAGCTAAATATTTTACTTTTGCCAACTAAAAAAAATTTTTGTCGTCAATTCCACAACTTTTGGCAGCTAAATTCTTTTTAGTCACCAATTTTGGTTGTCGAAGGTGAATTTTGTTATAGTGGTGGTTGGAACAAGTGAAGTCATTTTCTGTATAAGTTGGATGAAGTAGTTAGTTGAATACCTAGTAGGATTTATAATTGCTTTGGGTAATAAGTTTTGGTTATCTTGTTTTGTGACTGGAGGATAAACGGTTGTAATTCCTATGTGGTCTCTTTCTTTTGTAATTGGTACGATGTGGACCGTTGAAATATTATGACTGTGTTCATGAATGTATGGTGGGTTGTTTATTTTATGAGTTGTTGTGGAATTGAAAAATCTTCATAAGAACTATTGCGTTTTGACTTGGGAATGTGAGGGCCAAAAAGCCTTATTTTGATTAGGGTTTGCATGCTATGTTAAATAATTTGTGTTTGATTGAAATTGATTTAGAATGGATGGATGGTAGAGCTGGTTGTGGAAGATGAGTACTTTGAGGGTCATTTTGACTTGTTTGGTTATTGTGAGGATAGAGTTTTACCAGTCAATATATTCAGTTTGGTTGATGTTGGTTACTAGTTTATGTTAGAGGTATGATGATTTTGGTTTAGACCTGACATATTTGATGCTTTGCGATTCGGATTTTCTTGTCTTTAATTGTTGTTCATATCCTTGTTTAACTTATTCCTTGTTAATTTGAGTTGTTTAAGTATTGTGGTTGCATTTGGAATAGGTCGGGGGTTTGTTTTTAAATAGAAATTTTGTCTAGATTTTGGCGTAATACTTTAGTGGTACTTTCTACGCTCGAGCGGTCTTTGAGAACTCTCAGTACTTTGGCAGGTCTACAGAGATATTGAGAGGGTGTATTCTTAGCTCGAGCGGTGTCTCCTGCGCTCAAGCGATCAGCTTCTGTTTGTAATTTCTGGAAGTGTGGTGTTTTGGTCGCTCGAGTGGTTTGTGTGTATTTGGAACCCATTATGAAGGCGTTTGATGTTGGAGTATTGTGGTTTGGTGCTAAGTGAGAACAATAGTTGGGCGAATAAAGCAGAGTCGTATGGGTCGGTGAAGGGTAAAGTGTTGTTGTTTATAACAAGAAATGGGTTAGACGGATCAATGTCCTTATAACATCTTTAAGAATTCCTCATCAAGTCTTTAAGAGTTGGTAGTGTTGGTGTTTGAGTTAGTAAGAGTGGTTGGCATGTAAGTACTTGAGTTTATCTTATGGAGCAATTATTTCTAGCCTACCAAGAGTGGTTAGTTTGGTTTTATGGAAATTACTTTAATTATAGATTCTTTTGTTTAGGATGGGCGGTATGTAGGAGTATGTTGTTAAGAGATGTGTAAAAAGGGATTGGTCATGGGACTATCCTAGGAGGTTGCCTTGGTGTGGTAATATTATGCTTATTGTAATGTTACATGGTTTAATGTGTACTAAGTTAAATTACTTTTGTCATAAGTGGAGGTTGTTTATGAACCTCATGTAAGATCCCTAGTGTTGAGGTGATTTTCTGTTGTGGTTTTAGTTTGAGGATGAAACTTCTAGTGGTATCATAAGGTTGTGTGGAGCGGGTAGTGAGTTGTGTAAGTTTGTTATTTACTTCATTGGTCTTAGGTGAGTGTGTATTATGATCCTTGGGAGTTCAGCTCAAACTCAAGTATGGTGCGAGGAAGTGTTGCCATGTAGGCATAAGTGAAGGGGATAATATGGGTTAACTTGAGAAACCCGGTGTGATTTAATGAGAATATAAGATTGTGTGAGAAGCTCCATCTCAGAGTTGATTTGGTTAGGTAATATGTGTTGGTGTGGTGTTGAGATAAGTGGAGTTAAATGGTATGTCGGCATTTGAAGGCTAGTGTGGGATAGTGGTGTTGAATAATAGATTGGTTGGTGTTTGGATTGGTTGACATATAGTCACCTCGGGAATAGGATGGAATTATTGTGTAATTGATCGATATCTTAGTGTGGCATGTGAATTCCATATGGACAGTTGGGAAGTTATTTTGAGTTTGAGGTAACCGATTTGGGGTTACTGTTTTACTGTGCTTTTACGCCATTATGTGATTGTGAGTGTAAAATTTATGTTCCTTGTGTTATTGCGTTGCTGGAATTTTGGAAATTTCTTTGGATTCTCATGGTGGAAATTTGGTTTTGGTATTGTGGCATCATCGTGGATGTGATAGGTTTTGTTGGGTGACTGTGTTATGGTTCATTGAAGGAATGCCAATGAATGATTTTGAGGGGAAAAAAATTATTTTCTCTTGGTGTTGTGGCTTTGGGTGCTTTTCTTGAACTAAAATAGTTTTGAATTAAAATGTAAGTTTTCAGTTTTATAAAAAGCTGAATCCAACAAATTAGAAACAAAATGAAAATGGTTTCGTGTTATAAATATCATCTATGGTTTTAAAAATAAAACTAAATAGTTTGGAAATCTCTAAGTTTTATTGTAGACGGTGGAAAAATATTTAGATTGTGACAGTGTGGATTTGAACACCTTTTGAGAAAGCAAAGTGTTTTGAGACAAATGGGAAAAGTAAGGAATTTTCTTTAACTTGGATATGGTATCATGTGTTGTGCAGTGCGTTGTGATCTAGCCTGAGTTGCTAGTTATGTGCTATGTGTTTATTTTACGGGGGTTTAGAATTTGTCCGAGGCTTGTTAGGCCGTATTCGTTATTCTTTAGCCGTATTTCACTCTGTGTTCTCATCCCGAGAGTTGGTCGAGAGTCTAGTGTGCGAGGAGTCCTCTTATTCTCTGTGTCCGAGCGTTTGAGCACTCGATGATGATCCCGGTGTTATAGGTGATTCAAGCGTGGTTGACGTCTTTGAGTCCGAGTGGTTACTGTTGTTGTTGTGGTGGTTGTTGTTTCTTGTCTCATGGACCACTACGAGTCGTGTGGGTCGAAGAGGCATCCGTGTTTGTTCCTTGATGTTTTGTTGTTCGGGCGTCTCTAGCGTTCTGAGATGTTAAACCTAGAATCTGGGAACTTATCCCACGATGGATCTAAACATGGGTTGGTGTTGTATTCCTTATTATCGTTGCGTGGTTTTTGGTTTTGGCATTATTTTAATTTCAGGGATGAAATTTTCTAAAGTTGAAAGGTTGTAGCACTCTGTACTTCCTGTTAAAATGATATTATATTTGACTCTTTGAATATCTTGATTGGGAACCTTCTTAGTCGATGTTTGAGTCTTGGTTGAGATGTTATCATAGTGGTTAGGTGAGATTGAATCAAAAACTCCAAATTCGAATAGTTGTTATTGAGTAATCTTCACTCTTTTATCATTTTCTCTTTCCACACTTTGAATCTTAATGTGAGGCTAGAACCATTAGAAAGTTTACTTCCGGGGCTTCAATTTGGACACAAGAACCACCCTAAACAGAGTTCGGATGAGAGAGCTATGCCTATTGGAAATTAGCGAATCTATGCTATAAGCATAGTGTGCTCTAGCACAACTTTCAACGCTCAAGCGTATTATGCAGGATCAGGTCTTTAAAAATCACTTTTTGGGTCAAATCTATTCATTCTTCACTCCCCTATCCCTCTCCTTCCGTCATTTTTGATTTCTCAAGCTTTTTAGGCTTGATTTCATCTATTTCTATACATCTTTGACCCCTAATTTCATATACCAAAACATAGAGCTCGACGAGGGCTTCTATTTAATCTCAACGAATCATCGTTTTGTCGCCAGTGATTTTTCCGACTTGTTTCCTTCTTGCTTCAAGAGGTAGGATGTATTTCTTAAACTCAATATGAGTTTGGTAGTGTATTTGTGGTGTATTTTAAATATATAGATTCTATTGTTCTTGGATTGATTTTTGGAAATTTGTTTTGTAAGTGAAGGTGTGTTCCAAATGGGATTGTTGAGCTATGGTTTAGTTACAAAAGTTTATTTTCCACTTACAAAAATGCATATGAGTTTTTTAAAAGTAAAAAGCTCTAATTTGGAGAAACCTTAAAATGTTAATCTGTTGGAAAAATTGTTGGATTATTAAATCAAAATGTAAACGAGGGGTTTTCAAATATTTTCTTGAAAAATGTTGTGGTTATGAAATTGGAGTTGACATATGTTGAAATGAGCTATTCTTGCATTGAAATGGATTTTTAAAGAGGAGAGGAGTTATGCTAAAAAATGTAAATGTTGAGATTATAAAGAGGAAATAGAATAAATGTTGAGAAATATGAAATTGAAATAATGATTAATGATGATGGTGGAGTTTATATGTATTATTACTCCTATTTAAGATTTTGGAAAAGTGTATCTTTAATAAAATTTATTTATCTGTTTAGAGATATTTGTTTTGGGCTATCAGTGGAGTATAGCTATAATTGTTGTAGAAATTGCATGTGGACTAGGCAAACTGGCCTGTTTATAAATTATGCATATCATGGAGCATGAAGCGGATTTTGGAAATTGAAACTGTATGTTTTGGAAAGAGATTTTGGAAATTCTTGTGTTATGTTTTAAGAGCATTTATTTCATTTTGAAAATCATATTTTGGATCACA